ATATTTGGGCCTGCTATGCCAAGTATAGCCTGGGCCAAGTTTTATGATAAAGAGGCCAAGTTTTATGATAAAGATTAACTCAGCATGATTCAACTCAAAGTGACTCAGTTCATGCTTATTCATAAGAAAAAAAGATCAGTTTTATCATCTTGTCTCCAGCTCACTACCTAATCCTGTCCATTTAACTTCTCTATAAATGTTTATTTTAAATGGTTAATTTTGTTTCTTTTTGTCCCTTTCATAGGGAGGTGGAACTTGTTATTATTCCGAAATTCTCTTTAGGTTAAATAAAATGAATCAGTTCAATTCATAATAGGGGTTGTTTCTCTAGCACCACATCAATCAAGACAAAGATCTCTCAGACATTATGGCAGATGATTAAACTTCCAGATTCTGAAAAGATTCGATGCTCTTACAATAGTAGAAAAGATGCACCTATATATATATCTGTATGAAATCAGACTCATAAGCTTATGATGTAGAACAGCATAAGCTGTAAGAATGTGCTTTTAGAGATTTGGCTTATCTAACTGAACAAAATGTTCCATCAGATAGCAACTCAGGATCTATCTAAAATACTTAGCACAGGGGAAAATTCTAGGGTCAAGGAGCACAGAATAAGTAGCAAATGAATGTTCCCAAAAGACACATTAGGGAGGCTTCTAGGGAGGCTTCAGGAATGAACAGGTGATTCTGGAACGAAGAAGAGGGGAATGTATTTGACGGTCTCAGTTGGAGCACTGCCACTACCTCATGAGCTCTCATATCTAAGTAAATAGTGTGTGTGTGTGTGTGTGTGTGTGTGTGTGTGTGTGCAAACTTGGAAACAGAAGAAGCATGAGATATCTAACATTCATAGAGCACTAAATCTACAAAAAGCAACAAAGGCATTAGATGTTCATAGCATGAGATTCTATGTAAGAAACATAGAAAGAACTCAGTATGGTGAAATTTTGATTCAGTTGGTCATGGGTGACATTTGTGGGGGCTGGTCCTGAATCCAAGAAATATAGCAAAACCCATGGCTGCTCAGTACACTATTTGGCCAGCTACCACTGCAGCAGCTAAGTGGTCCTCAAAGTGGTCCTATAAGGCAAGCACATGGCTGTGAAGGCTGACATTACAGAAGTAGAATGAGCCTTTATATGTAACCTACTGCCCAAGCCTATTTGTTGAGCAAGTGGACATCACTGGTCTCAGGCACACTGCATCAGATTGAGTCCCCTATCTTAAACCTCTATTAATGTCCATTTACATTCTACCTGGGGAAATCTGATGGGGCAGGATGAGAATCAGAACATCAGGACTTTATAGAACTTGCATCCTGGTAATGTAGAAGTCTCTGCCCCACTTGCACCTGGTATGAGTATGTTGCTGGGATAGAATCCCTGAAGATAGACAACTTAAAAGAGCAATTGGGTTACTTGGCTTATGGTTTCACAGGGTTCAGTTCATGCTCAGCTGGCTCCACGCAGGCACAGGGGAAGAGTGCCAGTGAGAGACACGTCCTCCAAACGCGTGTCATTCACCTACCTCCTCCACCTGGGAATAAAGCTTTTGCCAGCTATTCCTCACACAGAGGACTAATACCTAGAATATAGAAAGAATTAAAAAATTAGAACCCCTCCTAACAAAAGACACAAATTAAAATTAGTCAAGTGAGACAAACCAATAATTCTCAGAAGATGTAAAAATGGCCAATAAGAACAGGAAGAAATGTTCAACATCACCGGCCAGTAGAAAAATGCCAATGAAAACAACACTGAGATTCCATCTTACCCCAGAAAGATCTTTATCAACAAATAAAGCAATAAGTTCTGGCAAGATTGCAGGAAAAAAGAAACCCTTCTACATTGTTAAGGGGAATGTAAACTAGTATAATCACTATGGAAAAAAGCAGGGAGCTTTCTCCAAAAAACAAAAAACAGAAATTTCATTCAATCTAATTATTCTTTCTCTAGGTACCTTCCCAAAAGACATCATATTACAGTGAATACATGCACAATCATATTTATTACAGCAACACAATTCTAATGGCTAAATCTTGGAAGCAGCCTATATGTTGAGAGCAACAGGTGAAAAGGTAAAGAAAATGTGGTATTTGAGCGAATAATAAAGTGCTACTCTGTGATGGAGGATAAACTTAAGCCATTTGTAGGTAAATGGATGCACTTGAGACCATAATGTTACGTGAAACAAATTGGATGCACAAGCTTGAATATCACATGGTTTCTCTTATGTAAGAAACCCAAAGCATAGGTATAGAGCAAAATGAAACACAGATAATAGCAAGTAGGGAGATGATCTTTCTTACGTGGGAAAGGGATCAAAAGGTGGAGGGAGGGGACCAGAGGGAAGAGAAGGGGATGCAAACAGGGCTAAGATGTGCTGTGTCCACACCCCGACTCCCTCCAAGGAATGCAATCTTTATGGACTGCAAACAGGTACTAAAACAAGAGAAAAAATAAAATTAGGTAAATGAATGGCATCTACCAAAATCCTAAAAAAGATATGTGGCTATGTCCATTTTTGCCAATGTAGCCAACCTTTCTCCATGACAGTGTAAGAGAGAAGGCCAAATGCTCCCCTTGGATAGACTAAAATAACAAATTTAAAAAACAATTTGTATCATACAAAGTAACTTAAAATGCCATGTCCTTATTTCTAGGGGTCAAGGATACAGCTCAGGGCCAGGGAGATGGCTCAGTAGAATAAGCACTTCCCTGGCAAGCGTAAGGGTCTGAGTTCAATCCCCAGGTCTCCCAAAAAAAAAAAAAGAAAAGAAAAAGGATACAGCTCAGTGGCACAGTACCCACCTGGCAAGCACAAGGTCCTGAGTTCAATTCCTAGTACCACAAAAAAAAAAGATTTATTTCTAAAACTAAAATACAGAAAATATTTAATATTTGTTTAGCTTAAGGGCCATCATAGTAAATTTTTAGGAAGAAAAAAAAGAATAGGCCTATGATTGGGGTGTGCAACACTCACTTTTTAAGGAGTATTTCTATTGATGAATAATTTTTAAAATTTTATGAGTTGTATTATATTAATACATACTTAATAGGAAAATATTAATTTTTAATTATGTAATGTGTGTAGAACATCAACATTTTCAAGAACTGTTTAACTGCTTATAAAATCTAAAAAAAACCCACAGAAATAAATTCCTATGCAAACTAAAATAAAAATACAAATAAAACTCTACCATAGAAATAAATCGGCCCAGAACCGGATGTGGTGGCTCACACCTGGAATCCCAGCACCCAGAAGGCTGGGCCAGGAGAATCTCTCCAAGTTCCAGACCAGCCTGGGAGCTAACACAAGGCCAGCCTGAACTGCAGAGTGTGACCTTGTCTCAAAAAAGAAAAGAAATATCTTTGCTTCAATTATCCCACCAAAGGCAGTACTCACACACAACAGCAGCACATCCCATGCACAAGTCTCTAACGCTGGCAGCATGTGTGGTTTCTCTTGATGTTCTTTTTGTAGTAGAACATACTTGATACCTTGCTGGTCTTGCTGTTTTGTTAAGAGGGTCTTGTGATATTCACTTGTCTGTTCACAAGTCTGTTCCAGAATTCTTTTGCAGAGTTCTTTGAACAGATACAAACTCTTCTTCCTCTGTTGTCATTTTTCATTGATCAATTCCAGCCCCAATCCTCTAAAAAAATTTTTCTGAGAAATTTGGAACCTGTTTTCTTTGTAAACTATGAAACTGTGCTTGGCATGATTACAATTAAGTAAAACACAACTGTAGCCTAACACTGTGTTTTCAAGTGACTGTAAAGTTGCTGCATAACTCGTCAACATCTACTTAGCCTTTTGTTTTCTTGTAAAATGTGACCATTTTTGGCTTTATTTGTGTTCAGAATTCACTATCAATCTTTTTTGGTTGTTGTTTTTTTCAGACAGGATCTCACTGCATAGTCCAGGCTACCCTTGAACTATGTATAACCAATGAACTTTGAACTCATAGGATCCTCCTGCCTCAGCCTCCTAAATGCCACATCTCCACAAATCCTTTAGATTCTGACTATTAGAATGATAAAGTCCTGCTATGCAGGTTTTTAGTTCTGAGAGAGTTGTCATTATAAGTATGCTTTGAATATCACTATTGATGCATATAAAATTTTTTTTATTGTTAGTATATTTCAAAACATCTTGCAGCATATGTTTTTTTTTTTTTTTTTTTAAAAAAATAAAAAATATAAAATATTTTTTTATTGTTAGTATATTTCAAAACATCTTGCAGCATATCATGCATTAGAAACAACTTCTAACACTGCATTGCAGTGTTGGTATTCTTTCCAATAGGTTTCTCCCTGACAAGAATCTATAACATTTTCTGACTAGTTTTAACACTGGATCGTTCATGTATTCACGACCAATTTGTAGCATTCTGGCCAGTCACTTATATTACTGTTTTATTCCTCATCTAAGCAAGGCCTGCACCTGTATTTCCTGTGACATACCTCACGACCCTCCCTGTGGTATGTGGCCCACGTCATCCCTGGTAGCTGAGTCACCTGATGACTCACTTATGAAAGTGGATTTTCAGGTAGTATTGTATGGAATTGAGTTAATTCTTTAAGAAACTGCAAAAGAAAACATGTAAAAACATATCATGGCAAATAATGTGGGGAAAACTCACCCATCTACAATTCATCACACACGCACACACCTTGCCATTTGTCAGGCCAAGTGGGTGAACACAGAAGTTGCTTCTTGTTTTCCCCCAGTGTAGCCAGTGAGATGCACCACTGGCTCCTGTTATGCTGAGGGCCTGCTTCCATTACAAAGCTATGACCTGGGTGCTTTTTACCCACCATAATGTCCCCTGGCTTTAAGTAAATATAGCTAAAAATAGAATTCATTTCCTTATACTACAGGGTCAGTGTCAATTCTCCCAACTCAGCTTTGCTCACTTACTTGCTTCCTTTACCCCCCACCTACCTCCCCTAGATTTTATAATAAATTAGCAACTCTCACATGGTAGAAAAATATTTATTTGGAATATTTCCACATTGTTATATAACCAACCATAAAATATATACAAAAGATAGCTAGATAGAAAATAAGATTAACTTCCTAAATTTTATATCAGCCTCTTTAATTCATGGCTGTGTTTCTGTGCAAAAATTAATCTACTATCTTCATATAGTGCAAAAATACAACTATAAAATAATGAAGGTGATTGTCATATAAAACGAATGGAAATCAACCTTGTTACATACACAGTTCTGTACACTGTATCTATTTTGCCACTATGCAGGAGCACCTCTGCTTATGCCACCGCGCTGTGGCACAGCGGGCAGAAGGTGTAGCTGCCGATCTCCTGGGCGTGCACGCAGTGCTTGCACACGCTGCACATCCAAAACTGGTACTCAGTGATGGGGCTTCCTGTGGCCACACACGTAGGCAGCTTCCCCTCTCCACTGCAAAGACAAGCAGGAAAATACCTGATTACACGTTAAAATCACTAAGCATTTTCACCTAATATATTTAATATAACTAAAACCTGAAGAATGAAAAATATTTCAAGATAAACTTCAAGTGAAATACTATTTCAAAAAATGTTTTGCAAATAAAAACTTCACTTACAATGAAAACATAAAGCACTAATAGATTTCTAAGATAAATAGCAGTGTACTGTTAAGGTAATTCAAAATTCAATGCTTTAGGCACTAAATTATACATTAACCATATATAAAGCCAAGCTTCTAGAAAGGAACAATGACACCTACTGATTATAATTAGCCTACCCTTCAAGAAGGCCGTCCAATTCAGATTTCCTCGTATCTTTTGGAGCATGCTTGGTGAAGATTTCTAGAGCTAGATCTTCATAGTGCTGTTGCTGTTCTGAACTCAGGGTCTCTAAGGATTCCAGTTTAATAAAAGCTTTTGAACAAGTGCCGAAGGCTCTACTGGCACATGCACAGAGTGCCAACAGAGAGTAGATTTCCACTGCAGGAATAATATCTTCATAGTCTCGTAGGAGAAGAGCTATGAAAGAGGACAATCCAGGTTTTAGCAAACAATCATGAAGACTCCCAGCAAAGGTAGTATGTTAGGCTCTAGTCTAACCTCCATGAACTTTAACAAACAAATAAAAATAAATTGAGAGACAGGTGCCCTAGTTGGATTTGTGATCTCCAGGTTCACAAACACCTCAGATCCTATAAAAATAAGCTCTCCCCGCCCCGGCCAGAACCAGTGGTGCACTCCTGCAATCTCACCTGCTCAGGAGTCTGTGGCGGGACAGTTATAAAGGCAAGGACAACCTGGGTGAGTCAGGGAGACTTGATCTCAAAGGAAAACACAAAGGACTGCAGGAGAAGCTCAGTGGTACAGTGATGGCCTCGCAGGCACAAATCCCGAGTTCAATGCTCAGTACCACAAAATTTAAAAATCCACCACCAAATGATGCACAAAACCAATTTAAAAAGATACACATAGACAAAAGTTTCCGGTGTTGAAACATACATCTTTATCCCACTTAAACTAGAAATCTCAGGTGCTGGAGCATATAGCTCAGTGGCACAGCACCTGCCTGGCAAGCACAAGGTTATGAGTTCGATTCCCACTACCAAAAAAAGAAATATCAGTGGCATTTCAAAAAATGTAATATTATATTTTTAGGCATAATTCTCAGTATCATATTTCTTTTTGCAAAGCAACATGAAATCACATTTACTCTTTGTGACTAGGATAATGCTTGTTTGTATTAATGAAACAATATAAGAAAAAAGAAATGAAAATGAGCCTCTAAACTGCTAGTTCATATGAGCTATTTTGGTAGCTGTGACACCTTGGCCATTTTTCTATACTTGAGATACTATCTTTTTAAAAATACGTAATGCAGGTTGGGCATGGTAGTACACACATGTAATCCCAGCATTTGGGAGGCTGAGATGGGGATTACCAAGAGTTTAGGCCACCCTGGATTATAAAATGAGTTCAAGGTCAGCCTGAACTGCATAGCAAGACCCTATCTTATATTTTTAAAAATTGGGGCCAGCGAGACAGCTCAGCAGTCTAAAGCACCTGCTTAAGCAAGCTTAGGCAGGTGCAGGGGACTTTGGTTCAGTCCCTGGCACCACATGCTGCACCAGCCCCACCCCCAGGGCAGGCTGAGCTGGCCACAAAAAAGTTAAAAAATTAAAATTAACAGACTGCAGAATTAATGTCAGATTTGTAATTAATTTGTTTCCTTTTTCTTCTTTAGATCTTGCAGCCTTAATATCTTATTGTGGTATACTATAATTTTCATAAGTATAAAATGATATATTCATCTATTTTATAATTAGATTCCTATAAAGTGGTTAGATTCCTATAAAAGGTCAAGTGTTGACAAAGTTCAGCGGAAGACATTTATAAAACTATATTCATTTATTGTTAAATGAATATATTCATTTATTATTAAATTGTATTTATATTTACAATAAATACAACTGCCTGATTTCATACCTGAAATGTAACAGGTTAACAGGCAATACTTTATAGGGCATATATCAGTTCAGACAATTTTATCGCTGAAAGTCAAAAATATCTAAAGTATTGGGATATCTTCACCCCCTTGGTAAAAAATCTCTGAGGTGTAAGTTTTGTTTCAATGTAAGTCTAGAAATTACATGAAATTTACTTACATATTAACTAGTTAAATGAAGGTCAGTTATAAAAATAAAATACCTCTTTTATATAACTAATCACCAGGGCCAGGGAGATAGCTCAGTAGAATAAGAGCCTGCCTGGCAAGCGCAAGGCCCCGAGTTCAATCTCCAGAACCGCAAAAAAAAAAAAATTTTCCTTCCTATAACTAATCATCAACTAGAGAAGCTGTTATAAATATCCACTGTCAATGAAACACCAATAGGAATAAGCTTCAAAAGAAATGTCTAGAGCCTATAAAAAGAAAATGATGAAATGTTAGACAAAGAATACACAAGTAGGTGACAGCTTTTTTGTTTTATTTTTGTCTTTTTGAGTCAGGGTCTCCTATGCAGCACAGCCTGGCCTTGAACTCACTTTGCAGCCCAGGCTGGCCTCCAGCTCCCAGTGCTAGTGACCCTCCTGCCACAACCTCCCAAGTGCTAGGATCACAGGCCCACACCACCACTCCCACCTCACAAACAGGTTTTCAAACTTGATGTTTCTAGATAAGAAAACTTGTAAACACACCAAGGATCCAAATGTTAATTTATTAAGTTAAGGCAATTCTAACTCGATGGGAGTTCACATAAACTCTTCCTACTCTCTAAAATACTAAGCTGATTTGGACGAATAAATACACCAAAACAGCCAACAATCTATTTCTAGTAAGTGGCTTTAGGATAACAAAAGAACTTACTACAAAATACAACATATTGAAGTGACAAGACTTCTTATACATGACTAAGTGAAAAATAAAACACTGCCAGACGTGACATATTAAAACACTATTAATATCATCATCACAGCTATAGCTTATTAAGAGCTCACAAATCCCAGCACCATTACGAAAGTGAATTTTCAAGAACTCAGTCATGAAAGCAGTTCCCTGGGGAAGATATCATTACATACACTTCACATAAAAAGACCCATATATATAATATACATATATATGATTATATATAATATCTAAAGAACTCATACAAATAACCAGAAAAATCACCCTTGCAGAATTCTAGAGCATTCAACGATAAGTTTTGTTTGGTTTTTTTTTGTTGTTTTTTTTTTTGTTTGTTTGTTTTTTTCAGAACTGGGGATTGAACTCAGGCCCTTGCGCTTGCCAGGCAAGTGCTTATTCTACTGAGCTGTCTCCCCAGCCCCAGTGATAAGAATTTATCTAAAAGACTTTTAAAATAACCTTTCCATGAGAATATAGATTGAGGTCTATCAGGGCCCGGGTGTCATGGACACTTAGTGAGGACCCAAGCGCAGAGGGGGCCCCACTGTCACCCACAGTGCAGACAGGAGGGAGGGGGACCATGGCAGGGCCACGGGGAATATGCCATACCAGTCAGGCATTCATCTGCTGCAGCTGAACATGTATCTACTAACGATGCTCTCTGGAGTCGATGCATTTAAGCTCTAAAATAGAGTTAGTCCAGAAGATATCTAGATCCAGTTACAGTATGTAAATAATTATAGTACATAAAGATCGTAGAATATTATATGTACTAAAAATGATACAGTTCTGTTTAGCAGTGAGACAGGACAATTACAACATACTGTTGACGGGGAAAAGCAAGCCCAAACGCGGAAAAAGCATCGACAGGAGTCTCGGCTTGGCCTCGCCCACCTGTTCTCAGGGCCGCGTCCACGTATCCCGCGTACAGCTGCCTCTGCGCCAGGATGAAGAAGTGGTACGCCTCGGCCCCTCGCCAAGCGCTGTCCGTGAGCCGGCTGGCGGGGGACAGAACGTCCTCTTCCAGCAAACCAGCCAAGGCGGAGGAGGCCTAGGAGCCAAGCAGACGCAGGCTTCCGTCAGCCCACACACTCAGGACCAGCTGCCACTGCCACGGCTGGCACCAGAGGCGGCTTCTGAACCCCAGCACACTACTGCATCTAAATAAGCAGGCTTCATCAGCATGAAGCTGCCATGGCAGACATTACCATTCTTACTTCGGGACACTGCTACAGTCAAATTTTAAACAGAACTGATTAAGGTACTCTGGGATCTATTTATACTGTAAAGTAATATACACATATATATTTTTTGGGTACCCTTCTACAGGCTAATATACATATTCTCATTTTTCAAAATTCTCTTATTGGAAAGAAAGATTTATCAGGTAAGTAAAAATTTTAACAAATGGAAACTTTAAAGCAAAGACTACAGATTAGTCTTTTACTAAAAATAATTTTCATTATTTCTAAGAAGTCTCTAAATTTGAACACTAATCCTCAATCGGTCATTTCTATTCTATCATTTAAAAGAATTATTACGAAGTAAAGTGCATGTACAGAGAAATGAGGCGCGGTTGGGTCTCCCACATCTCGCGAGACAGCCTCGTGAGCCGACCTCGTGGCTCCCGTCGTCCCCCTCTCACCTCGGAGCTCTTCCCTTTGGCCTTCCCCCGCTGGCTGCTCTTCACCTGCTCGTGGTGCTGCTCCACCAGCAAGGCCGCCAGCACGTACAGCTTCTTGACACGCAGTGGTTTCGTTCTCTTTTGTGCTTCTTCATCAGCAATCTTCAACAGTTAAAAAATTAGGGAGGTAAAAAAAAAAAATTAGGGAGGTATTTCTGAATCTAAATTTGCACAAATATAAGCATTTCCAAAATTAACTGACACTTGATTCTCTAAATGATATAACAAAGCATACACTGTTTCTTCCTTCCAAATGGATATTATAAAATATGAAATATTGAAAAATACGTTCAGTTTCAAGGACAAAGGACTCTATCATCAAAAGGATTTAATTCCCAGTTAAGAAAATTTGTCCTTGAGGCTGGTGAGATGGCTCAGTGGTCTAAAGCACCTACTTAGAAAAAGCTTAGCAAAGCACGGGAACACGGTTCAATCCCCCAGCACCACATGCCAGCCAGCCCGCCCCCTGGTGGGCTGAGCTGGCCACACACACATACATAAATAAATAAATAAAAATTAAAAAAAAAAGAAAAGAAAATTTGTTCTTGATGATCCCAACAAATTCTTTAACTCTTTTTTAAATTCAATGCCCAATTTACAATTGTTTAGTTATCAGTAAACTGCCAATATTGATAGTAAAAGACAATATCAAAATAACACATGTTAAGAAGAATATATGCAGTGTATTATTTGTTGAAACTGTCCTTCGGATTTGATTTGAAACTGTCTCATTGCTATCTGTTTGTCAATAAAACTTTGAAAAAAAAAAAAAAAAACCACATGTTAATAGCAGTAATAAAGCCAGAAGGGTTTTGTTGGAATAAACATTTGTTCTTAAAGAAAATGAAAAATCTGCTTAGAACTACATGTGTTGTTAAAAAAAATATATAACTACAACAAAACCAAATACCAAGATTATTACAGTACCTTAAACATCAGTTTAGCAGCATCAAAATAGTAACTGGCTTTCCGGTAGAGTTCTATGGCATCAAAAGTCTTATTCTTTTCCAGCAAGTGAGATGCATACCTAGCTAACAGTGATCCGATTTCTTTCATACTGTAACTTGTAGCCAATTCAACAGCTTTGTTCCACTAGGAAAAAAAAAAAAAAACCTGTGTCATTAACTCACCTAAGTACTCACATTACCATGTCATAGATTTACACATAAAACTAAGTTTGTGATAACTGGTATAGTGCTTTAAAATAGAAAACTGGTATTTTTTTGAAATCACTTAAAATCACACCAATCATAAATTCTATAAGCTAAACATGTGCCAAATGATTAAATGATCTAAGCCTGATTTAATAAGTGCATTTGAAAAAGAAAATTTCAAAGTTTATAATCACATTAATCTTGTGATTCTGGGGGCCTGTCCATTAGCTCAGTTGTTTAAGTGTCTGCTTAAACAAAGCAGTCAGGCTCAGGATTCTGTGGTTCGGATCCCCAGATCGTCAAGCCAAACCAGACCTGCCCTGAAGACATCATGACAACGCAAAAAAAAAAAAAAAAAAAAAAAAAATCCTAATCTTGTAACTGTTTTTGTCCATACTCTAGGTCAAGCAAGATTTATTTTTTATTGGAGGCCTGCCCCTTAGCTCAGTTCTTTAAGTGGCTGCTTCAACAAAGCAGTCCGAAAAATTTTTTTTAAAAAATTAAAAATTAAAAAAAAAACAAAAAGCAGTCAGGCTCAGGTTGCTGTGGTTCGATCCCCAGAACTCAAGCCAGCCAAACCTGCCCTGAAGGCATTCAGAGCAAAAAAAAAAAAAAAAAAAAAAAAGATTTATTTTTTATCATAAAACAAAATACGCAGTTATGGTTAAGAAAATACTATCTGGTTTAACATTGAAAAATGATTTTTATAAGATAAGTGAAGCATTATACTTTAAAAATACACTGATAGCAGTTTCTACAATGATTTCCACTTAACTTCAGTTAAACTTCAGCTCCTAAAAATATCAAATATGTGTTTTCTATAGAGCAGAAGGGAAACCCATTTGCCAAAATAAACATTGATAAAGGAACTGAATTCTCCCTCAGGCAATGAGCAAGCTGACCTGGTCCTTCTTTGAAAGCACAACCCAGCTCTAATGAAATGCAGAAAATTATGAAATGACTTCCAGACAGAAACGTTGTAGGCCCGAAATGTAGGCTGGCTCATGTTCCCCAACAGAGCTGGCTTGGAGTCGGTCACCCCCACCGCACCCCTCACCCTGGCAGCAGTTCAAGGGCTGTGTGCAAACTCCAGTATACCTGGCTGGGTCCTGTCACAAAAGCTGAAGGGCTCCACCCCCACCTTCCCAGGGAGGCACAGGACCACAATAGTGACTATCATTTTGCTTTGACTTAAAAATCCCTGAGGCAACACTCCACAACACAATAAATCCAATTCCTTACTTGGTTGAGATGCACACAGGTATCTACGGCTGCCTTTGGCTGGTTACATTTCAGAAATGCAGACACTGCTGGTTCACACATTCCAACTCTCACAAACATCTGTGCTATTTCCTGTGAGAATAAAACAGTCCTATCAGATTTCACAGGCCAAGGAAATCATTTGTATCTTAACTTAGAAAGCGCCTCAGGGATGCAGCAGTGTTAAACTGGTTGGTGGTTACAGTGCTTTTCTTTTAAACAGACAGAAGCTGGGGCTGCAGAGCAGAACAGCTGCGAAGCACCACCTTCCTCCAGGCAGCAGTACGCCACCTTGGCAGCAGATCTGATTTCTAGGCAGGCCCTGAGGACGCTGAACTCCTTTATTCTTGCGGGGCAGCAGCGGGGCATGCAACACCACGGTCCATAAACAACCCCACGCGAGTGGGTACAGAAGTGACTGAGGCACTGGCACTGTGCTCAGCCGCCCTTGTTGGCATGGCCCCTCTCAGAGCTTCTAAATGCCTCTGTGAAGAAAAGCTCGCATCTGTGTCTGTGGCCACAGCTAGCACAAAGCTAAAGCAGGATGATCACTTACGTCTAGGAGTTTGAGACCCACCTGGGCAATAAGGTGAAAATCCCATCTCAAAACAACCCAAACAAAAGCAGCAGGACCCTAGAGAAATACGCAGCCACTGAGACTCACAGCAGAGCGAGAGCTGCCGGGACAGCACAGGCAGGAGAACCAGTTCACACCTGTATCTTACCTAGCTGATGGCTGCCTTTTGCATTTTCAGAAAATTAATCTGTTTCTTTTGGCAGAAGTCACTTCCCAGAGTTTTTGCCTCCCTACCTGCCTCCTTCCAAAACATATTTGGAAATGTAAACATAGCTTTGTGTCCAACCACCTTTTTAAAATTTTTTTTCTGATTATAAAGTAATGTTTTAATAGTTTTGAAAAAACTATAAAACATGAAAAAATAAAGTTACTCATACTCTCAATACCCCAAAAAGAATTCTCTAAATATTCCATGTGACTTCTTAACTTCTTTTTCCTCTGCATACACATAGATATATGTCCGTGTACAGCCTGTGATCCTGCCGCACACTTTGGTGCCTGCATTTCCTATATACATATTATGCATATCTTCCTACATTATTAAAAATTCCTCTAAAACATAAACTTACAGTATTTACTACTTTAGTTATTTTTACTGTTAAAATTACTATTTACTTACTAATATCATTATTTTGGATTCCTGACAATGAAATTTCTTCTGCTTCCTCAAACACACCTAGAGACAACACTAACGTGGGCTATCCCAGTGGTGGCGAACCAGCGGTGTGTGCACTGCTGGGGGCGGTCTGTTGTCAATGAAAGCTCTAAAACATTCGCCATCACTGATAGTGTTCTCTGTACTCAGGTTCTCAGTAACGTCAATTTTTTCCATTGTCAAGACAACGTAAGAGGTGCAATAGCCTAGGCCAGTACAAAGGCAACTACTACCAGGATACCTGCCCTAGCTCACAGTAGGAAAACTCAATTATCAGAATTCTCTGCTGATCTATTAACTAACAGGCACTGTATATGAGGTGCAGCTCACAAGTGCACTGTGTCCGGACCCTACAGCTGACTTCCGCCAACTCCACAGGTATCATGCACCTCAGTGATTTACCCAGCAGATACACAAATACAACTCAACTCATGAGCGATAGTCAACAATTAATTAAGATACTAAAAGGAACATTCAAATGAATAGAACTTGTTTTTAGGCTAGTTCTGAGGTTATTTCCTGATATAACATTAAAAATTTTTTATAAAGTAACCTAACAACTTTAAAAACCAAAATATGAGGGCCAGCCAAATACCTCAGTGGGTTAAAGCACCTGCAAGCAGGTGCAGGGGCCGGGGTTCAATCCCTGGACCTGCTGTGCTGGCTCCACCCCCAGGGTGCACTGAGACACAATTGAGACTGGGCGTGGTGGCACACACTTGTAATCCCAGCTCTTGGGAGGCTGTAAACAGGCGGATCTCTACAAGTCCAATCTAGTAGTAAGACCCTGAAAACCCTGTGGACCCTTCTCAAAAATTAAAAAAAAAAAAAAGAAGCACTTAAAAACCAAAATATGCAACACCTACTGGAAGCAACTTGTGGTTTTCTGGCAGCGAACTAGCAAGATTCTCTAATCCCTCATAATCTTCCAACATATAATAGCATTCAGCTAAGCGCTCCTGGTTCCGGCCTTGCACATAATATTGTACAGCATTCAGCCTACAGAAAGAAAAAAATAAAACCTTTTAAAGCTAAAATGAATTTCTGATAATTATTTGCATCAAAAAGTTTCCTTCATTCAAATTACTAGTACCAAGTGGGACTATAGCTCAGTGGTAGACCAGTTATCCAGTTATGTGGAAAGCCCTGGGTTCAATCCCCAGCTCAGCAGTAATCATAACCTCATCATAAATCATAATGATGACTATAATAATTATTTATATTATTTATTTCATCATCTTCAGGTATATAGTACCTAAATTGGAAAAAATCTTTAAAGCTACATAGCACATACTAATTGTAACAGACTTTGAATATGCTTATGAAATACTGTTTTAATCAGATACATTCACAGTACTACTCCCACTGACACAGGTAAGTGGACTGATCTAACTCAAAATTTAAGAATAAAAGCAATGACTTATGAAAATAGACAAAATGAGCAAACATATTATTTTACTTGTTCAGAAACAACACGTTAGAATTGTATACTGTAGGGGGCCGGGGAGTTGGCTCAGTAGAATAATTGCTTGCCTGGCAAGTGCAAGGGCCCGACTTCAATCCCCAGTTCCACACACACACAAAAAAAAAGAATTGTATACTGTAATCTCAACAGTCAAAGGCTGCCCAGATCTAAACCCAAGTTTTATGTTTGAAACTCCAAAGTTTCACAGTGCTCGTGGTCCAATTCCAGGATGTGCTCTCCAATGTGAGAGAAGAGCTATGTGAATTTCAGGACTGAGCCTGAGGCTGGCTCCATTCCCCAGCGTCACATCCTAAGGAAATGTTCAGGCAGCCCCGAGGAAACCCATGTGGCAGGCAGAGCGGCTTCGTACCACTTCTGGCGATCAGCAAAGTAGTCTCCAATGGCATTGTGCGCTTGCTCAAGAAGACTGTCGTCTGCGTCCCCAGATCCAGTTTTCAAGAGGTGGAGTACTCTAAACCAATCCACCAACTTCAGCCGGAGGCCAATGGCAAGGTCCCTACAGACAATGGCATCTGATCATTTGTTCATCCATTCAACAAATATTTATCAAGTGTCTACTATGTTCTAGGTATTGTTCCAGGTAGTCAGACAGACAAAATAACTCCAAATTCTTAGCTCTAGCCAGGTACCAGCCAATGCAGGTGAGTAGGAGACCCTGCTGTGTCTCAATGTTTGTTCCTTCCAAAATTTATGTTGAACTGGGTATGGTGGCACATGCCTTCATCCCAGCACTCAGGAGGCTGAGGCAGGAGGACTTCAAGGCCAGCCAGGGATACACATTGAGCTCAAGGCCAGTCTGGAACATACTGTAAGACCCTGTCTCACTGGCCATGGTGGTGCACACGTGTAATCCCAGCACTCAGGAGGCTAAGGCAGGAGAATCACTGTGAATTCAGGGCCACCCTGGGCTACCTAGTGAGTTCAAGGCCAGCCTAAACTATGTAGCAAGGCACTGTCCCCCATCCAAAAGAGAAAATCTCCACAACAAAAAGACCATATTCTCCCAAACAAATAAAAAAAAACAAAAAATAGTTAAATTCATGTTGATACTGAATCTCTCTCATGGACTGTCTTCCCTCATGGGCTGATTAACACCTTTATAGAAAAGAGACACCAGAGAATGTGCAGCCCTTTTCACCCTTCTGCTTTCTGCCACGTGAAGGTGCAGAATTCAGAACACAGTCTTGGAAGCAGGCCCTCATCAGACACTGAACCTGGTTTTTGTGGTGCTCGATCTTGAACTTCGTAGCCTCCAGAAGTGTGAGCAATAGACTATTCATCATAAATTACACAGGCTCAGGCACTGAATTATAGCAGCAGAGACAACAGACTAGGAAAACAACTTCCTGCCTCTTGTTTTCATGTTCCAACTTACTGAGCAAAACCATGATTTAAGTCACCCCTTCTTTGCATCAGGCTGGGGAAGGGAGTGATTTCTGGGGACGCTATCCTGAGCCAGCAGGACTCCAGAGCAGGCACACCTCAGGGTCTCAGTGTAAGTAACTTCTACACCCCAGGTCAGTGCTGGCACCCAGCTACTGCTGAGTGCTTACCTATAAATCTGGACTGCCGCGAGCATGTGCAGCTAGAGAGAGGGCTGCTGCTGAGCCACTAACAGAGGCATGTCAGATATTCCCACGGCTTTGGGTCTCTTCTCCAGGCACCCAAGTCTCAAGCGAACCTCCTGGTCTGAACTGATGGCAGGACAGACGCCTGTAGCTTTCCTAACTTACCTTCTGTCCATATCAAGATACATCCTTTCTGCCTCTTCAAACCTGCCAAAATAGGCCACGACTTCAGCCTGCTTCATGGCCTCGCTCTGAAGATTGCCCAGGCGCTTCACAAACTTGATGCCCTGGTAATTTTTGCAGCGCACAAATGCTTGCTCCGCAGTGTCCAAGTCCAGTTTCTGAAGAGTTGCTTCTGCTAGCAGGCGCCTTTATTTAGAAAAGAAACAGTGAGGCTTTGTAAATCACTGATAAACTAGTCTTGAACCAGACTTACTATGCTTATTGTTTCTAGTGAATCGTAATATTCTAGCAACACCAATATGTTTTCATATAACTTCGCATTCATAATGAGAACTTTCAAGTCTAAAATAAATTTCCATATTAAAAAGAAAAGAAAAGAATGCTAGTGCATGCCCCTCAGGAGGTTAGTGCGGGAGCCAGATGACATGGCTGGGATTTCACGAGCCAGCATCTGGCATTTGGGGAAGTCTGCAGGGTTTTCCTACCACAGCCTGGGGTGTGGATTGTCCTCTATGAATTGAGATGCATCTTCAATCCCAACCTTCTCAATCAGGGCCCGACTATCTCTCAAAGACCGAATCTCGAAGTTAAGAATATAATCCTTATTTGGATGTTCTGGATCCTGTAAGTAAAGATGAAAACAAAGGAATTCACATGGTTGCCTGTAGAGCAGGATTTTTTTTTCCATTAAGAACAATGCAAAACAAAAAGTACTGCATCATATTGTGAGCAAAACTTGGGAGAAACAAAATTCCCACTTGGGTCTTATGAGTTCTGAGGAAAACACAAATTTCTCCCGAGCCAGCAGGCGGTGCTGCCAAAGGATGCAGAGTGGGAGGCCTCCCAGCTCTGTGCAACCGCTCCTCCATCACCCCTCCCCAGGGCCACCCTCCTCACCAGAAAACCCAGCACCACAGCTTTCTCCTCACTCCTTCATCCCTGCTTTCCTGTCCAAGGCAGCTGCACTGTTGCCCCCTATTGTTAGGCAGCAAAAAGATGAAAGAAAAGGGGCCAGGGCCATGTCCTCACTACCAGAGGTCAGCAGGCTGACTAAATCAGTGTCTTTGAGGAAAAAGCCTGATAAATGGGCAAAGAAAGGAAACACAGTAATAAGCAACTCACCCTCTCTATACACACAATTAATGAAGAAAACACCAATACAAGTACAGCCTGTGTGTAAAATAGTAGAGGCCAGGTCCTACAGAGCAGAAGCTAAACAGCCACAAGCACCCACTCCTCCTCACCCAGAGGCAACAGCACTGGAGCTCACAGTGTAAGACCTGGGACGCCTGTGTGTGGAAGGAGGAACTAGTATAGTGGGTGTGAGACAGAATTCAAGACCTGCTCTCACTCTGACTCCATTGTTCATTGGCAAGGTGAACCCCCTAGGACCCCCCAAGTCCCCAGAAGCCAAATCTACTTTCTCCAAATTCATTCCCCAGCCTCACCTCCCCGCTGACTGGAGGAAGACACACGAAGTCCCCTAGCAGCCCACCCTGTCCCATAACCCTGCCTCATTCTGCTACAGCTGCACCCAGAAGCTTCGAGGTCATACAGCTTGGAGCCTAATCATGCTTCTGCTGTGCTAGCAAGATGACAGGGAAGATGACAGGGAGGAAATCATCAAACTGCTTCCAAGAGCTGTGAGGACTGAGAGACAGCACATCTAAAAGGAGCACAATGCCCAGCTACGCCAGGCACACTACTCCAGTCTCACAGAGCTTGAAGTGGGGACACTTCCTAACTAAATCAGGGCACCCCACACCTCCCTGCTTGCTGAATTGTCTTCTCCCCAGTTCCTCCATGAAAGCCTAGGAACTGGATTTTACTGACTCAGTTAAAAGGTTCTTAACCAATGAACAGATGAACTCTGAGAAAATCACTTCACTCATCTAAAAGCAAGATACATGGAGTAGGGGCCAGGGAGATGGCTCAATGGAATAAGCACTTCCCTGGCAAGTGCAAGGGCCTGAGTTCAATCCCCAGTTCTGGGAAAAAAAAAAAAAAAAAGATACGTGGAGAACCTACCAGGTATAGTCATAATGAGAAGTGACACGGGATGCCTTATAGGAAGGCACCTTGGTAAAGATCAGTTTCTTTCTTTTCCTTTTGTATTTCTTCTCTAGTCTTCCAAGAAATTTCTTGTTCTTTTTTTTTTCTTTTCCTTTCTGTCTCTGTACTGGGGCTCAAGCCTAACAGTATTTTACCACCGAGCTTCATCCCCATCTCTTGTTAAATTTTGAAACCAGGTTTCACTAAGTTGCCCAGGGGAACCTGAACTTGCAGTCCGCCTGGTTCCACCTCTTGGAAGCTATGATCACAGGCTCGTGAGGTTACCATGGGCTTCATGGCATTTCCTAAAACTATGCTTGAAGGAATCCACAGTCCAGCTAAACATTTCCTGGGCCACTAAGGTCCAGAGAAAAGCATGACAGAGTCTTTCCTTCAGAAGCATAAGTCACACAAATAACAAACTCAAATAATTTAGTTTCTGCCACCACTTAGCTCTCCACTCACACTGGCCCCTTCCAATACACTGAGCACCAACACTGGGTGCGCCAAGAGTCGCAGGTGACAGTGACCCAGTGTAAATGTGTACTTACCACAACACTTTTCAAGTCAGCACAACCATCAGTTACAAAAACAAGGCCATAGGCATTTTCAAGCACTCAGCAACCATGACCCTCTTTTTAAAAGTACTCTTGATGATGAAATTCAGGCAACCAGAAGAATCAAATTGAAGATTTATGCATAGAGAAAGTGTAATAAGAAGATTGACAATAGCTTTGAATCTACTTCATGTAAGACTAAACGACTAAGGACAAGGTGTAGCTGGGTGGCACAGCATTTGCCTAGCATGGGTGTGGTCCTGGGCTCAAACCCCAATACAATTACAAAAGACTAAATAAATGAAAATTAGAGTTAGAAAACAAAATTATTATGAAGCTGAGCATAGTGGCACATGCCTACAACGCCACTACTTGGGAGGCTGAGGCAGAAGGAGTGCTTGCAAGTTCGAGGCCAGCCTGGACTACAAAGTAAGTTCAAGACCAGTCTGCACTGCATAATGAAACCCTGTCTCAAAGACAGAAAATAAAAATTTAAAATTAAAATGTCCTAAATCTTGACAACATAAAATTACAACTGGCAAACTGATAAAAGAGGGAAAAAATAAGTATGATATCTTGTAGATTGAAAAGTCAATACTACTAAAAGTTAAAATGCACTTCAAAGTGATAACATTTAGTTTTTCATAACTTTTCTTAAGCCAGGAAAATGGCATTGAGGTGCAAAACAATAGCTAAAAGTCACTCTTTAGAGAAATGCTCTCCACTGTAAAATGATATTTAGACTACTCAATTAAAGTTAAAACAGCTCAGCAGCACAAGCACCTGCCTGGCAGGCACAAGGTCCTGGGTTCCATTCCCAGTAGGAAAAAAAA